TACTTCATCATTCAGTTCATGGGTATAGGAAGCTGTGACAGCGAATTTACCTCTCGGCGCTAAATGCAGTGCTAATTCTCGATTCTTTTCTACTAGGACCAGTTTCTCAATCTAACTGATCTGACGTGTCATACTGGACCGCTCTTCGGATGGCCTCAGGAAGTTGTTTAGTCTTGAAGTCTCGCAAAACAATACCGACCCGCAGTAGTGTCTCCGACCTTATCTTGTCAGCGTTGTCCTCAAATAACCATGTGCATTCCTACTGGGTGTAGAGATATACGCTCTCTGCTCTGACCTACTCGCAGTAAAGTCGTGGCTTCTGATGCGGTGTCACGTTCCCGTTAAAACAAACAATCTCTGGTTACAGCTAATTATTTTTCCAGCCTCGGTTTTGTGGCTTTTTTTCTTTCTCATTTAGCATAAGGATATTTACGGGATCACTTCTGATATAGTGTTAGCGAGTTATCCTGTCCGACTATTCGTGTATGAGCTAGAGGGTCCATCACGGAGAAAGGGGACATAGCGATTCAGCCTACTGATCCCCTGTTGCATCGTGTACACACTGCTATCGTGTTTACGTCCCAACTACCTCCTTCACTAGTGGTCCGCGAGTGTCGTAGTTCTCTATAGAGATCACAATAACCAAGATAATTAGATAGTATTCAAATAACATCCCAGTGCAGAGCGCACGGGAAGAGAAGGATTACATGGGGTTGTCTGGGAAGCGTGCATTTATGCGCTCGTTCGCGCCTGACCACAAATCTGTACATTGGCGCTCGCGGCAGTACGTGTGGGAGTGATCTCGAAAGCTCGCATGCGGTTTGTTAGGTTTTGTCGCAACTCAATGATGTGCCTCTCTCGTCTCAATCGTTTCACTTACCTCAGCCACGCTCTTCAAAACGAACACCCAAGACTCCTGCAATTCTGCTAGTTGATATAAAGCTAGAAACATGAGGCCGCATATGCATTACGTTCGTGAACAAGCACGTAGAGCATTCCTCAAGTGCACAGCATTCGTACTCTGCAGATGTGCCTCAGCTGAATAACGGGGCACTATATACTTTCTAGGATAGACAGATTTTGCCTTCTTCATACGGAAGGAGATAGACTATTCTCTCAGCTTACCTCGCTGCCATGTATGTTCAGTGCACTGAACAATTGCGCTGTGAGTGACAATATTGGTCTTTTTGCTCGACAAGTAGCACGATTCTATGGTATACCGTAGTCGCATTTTATAGTAGTGAAGATCATGCTCTCCTTGTGCGCTCGATGTAGGACTCTGTTGTATCGCACCCATTCAAAGAGGACAGAGCCTCCCAGCAGAAGCGATGAGCGAATATCACACACATCCATCGTTTTTGTGGAAGCAGCCAATAGCCAGAAGCTCGTGCTGCTAAGTCGAGTGTTAGATAAAGCGACGAAGTCTCACGAGACTACTAGGACGATCGGACGAGGAGTCTTCCGCTCATAAAAGTGTAAATGATTGGTATTGCGTAGAGTGGTCCCCCATGCACGACACATGATAGCATATACTCTTCACATTTGTCGTGACAGCTGATTTCAAAATCTCATTACCAAGTATCAGATATCAGATTACATTCACAGACGGTAACATGTATGCAGACATTAAGTGTTGCGCCTTGCTCGCCGCGCTGCCCGCGCTGCCAGCGTAATCCACCACGGCATACGTGGTCTCTGCGTCTCTCGCGTATGACGTACTATCTCGCGTTCTCCCTCTCCTCGCAGCGCTGTGTCTCTCCGTCGTACTACGGCCGGCCTCCTAAGGGAAATTTAGTGTTTTCTATGGTGCTTTTTGCTTTTTCTCCTCACTAATGTTCCTCATTGCACCCCTTGCCTAATGTTTGAACAAAATAACGCATCAACTTCAATCCCGACTCGTGCCTTTAAGGTTGGCGCGTGTACTGTAGGTACTGAGGGCTTTCGTGATATTCCTATGGTTCTGTCAAAATAAACCAGGACGCAAATTTCTTTCCAAATCTTCAGACTGAAAATTTTTCAACAAAAACCAAAATTCTACCCATTTTTGGCGAGCGGGCTGTATTGTTAAATAAGGCCGTAATTCAATAACACTCAGCGTTATTCTCGTTCAATGCAGCTGGATAGCAAGATATATTTAAATTGGCAACGCACGGCTTCTGCGCACACGACACAACAATACCCTGCTAATGAATGAAAGGATCAAGCTGAGGAAGCCGACCGCAATCAGACCCTTTCCAGAACGCGCCATGCATTTTTACTTCTCTGAATCGTATGGCATCCTTATGTTTAGTCTAACTAGGGAAGGATGAAGGGTCGAAGTGGCCATATGAAATGAGACAAGTATCATGGTATGTGGTTTCGGACGCTGATCTCGAATCTTCTTCCCAAATCTGCCAAACGATTCGCTGAACGGAGTTACGGAGGTTTTTTCCCCTCACACAGTTTAACACAGTGAGGAATCGGCCTCAGCAGCAGCGGCTTGTGAACGAAGCAGTGAGCCCCTTTGATCAGATGCTGGTGGCCTAGTGGTTAAGGTGTTGCGGTTGAGATTTCGAGGTCAGTGGTTGAGCTCTCCCAAGTGTTTTTGCTTTGCATTTTTGTAACTGACTATCTGGCAGTGGGCGAAACATGATTCCTTCATTTATTGTTGTAAGCTAGTCACTGCTGTTTGAGAGGGGCAGTGAGGTCGATAACTTCAAAATTTTTCCTAACTGTCATGACGTTTCGTCATGATGCGACGAAAGAAATCAAGGTGGATCCTTGACACGTCATCCTATTGATTAACTAACTCAAAACCTGCGTTCAAATTGCCGCTGGCCGCACTGCCAGTCCATTCCAACCAGCCATTCCAACGGACCGCCCCCTGGCCCGGGTATAAATACCACCCATTTCTGGGGGTATAAATACGGCAGTCGGAGACTCCCGGGCAGTCTTCGCGGTCTTCGCCGGTCTCCTCAACTTCTCCAGTCGTCTCCAGCGGTCTACAAGCAAGCGACCTCCAGTCGCACAATTAAACCTAAGGCGGCAACGCCAGCAACAAACCAAATAATCAATAAGCACAAGGAATCAATAAGGTACAGCCAGTGGATCCATCCACCGGCCAAGGCCACCAATCAATATCACTAACCAAGGACCACCAACTCACACCTCCAGCCACTATCGACCAACACCTTAAGGCACAAAGTCAATGTCAAAGAATCCCGATACGCACTCAGCGTAATGGGGCTAACCGAACATAACGTTAACTAAAGTAGGAAATAAATTGTTAAGTTGAATCATGTGTCAATAATTGCTTTAGGAATCACGGCATACGAGATGTTAATAAATGTTAGTATTTACAAGTGTTGTTTCAATAAATAAATTGAATAGAAGTCGCATCACAGGGCAATCTACCACTCTACCTCCGAAACATGGTGCATGGGCCGATCCGAAACGGATCCGAGCACACAAATGCGACACCAGTAAGGAACTAAAAAAACCACACTAACCAAATCTACCCCAAATCGTTATAGCCTCAATTGATTTAAAAAGTAAGCTTAACGTAGACCTTTAATAGGTTTAACGAACACTAAACTTTATCTAATTTCTCCAATCAAGTTGAAGATTCCATACCCAATTTACCTGAAACGAAAATAAGTAAATTCAATCAAATTGACACTAAAGGAACCAATCGGAACGACTTGAATTAAAGATAGGCAAGGACAAACCTGCATTAAAAAACCCGCCGTTCCCTAACCCCGTGCTTCGTGATTTGATCTCAATCTGTCGCGACACTCTCAGGGCCCTTAACGAAGCACGAGGTCCCCATTCATTGATCACATAGTAATCAATGAGAAAAAAAATTATAAAAAAGGAAAAAAAACTATTTACGGGTACCCTTGTTTGGTAGTTACATCGCGCAGCTGCATGGTGACAGACCGCCATGATGCCGAAGGCGTTCTGTCGGCCTGTCAAATTTCTCGGGTTTCTAGTATTACAAATGGGACTTCGAGATAATTGAAATAACCCCGGGTGAGTGCCCACATGCCACAATTGACATGGAGCCTTATTTGGGGAGCCTCAACTCAGAGCCTCAATTTGAGATAACTCATTTATATCAAGAACTACGAATAAACGGGAGCAATAAGCAAACAGGAGCTTAACAAAAGAACGAGCTGCAATTTAAATACTAATATAAACTACCTAAGATCAAGAAATTGATACCAAGGCACGGAAAAAAGAGAAAAAAAGAGAGATAAGAACTCCTTCAATAAGAGTCAAATGTGTGCACACCGAAGACGAAGCTATGGCCGAAAGGCCCCCTTTTTTTCCGCGGATCCGCTTATGCCCGAAACGTCATGACATGACTTTCAGAAATTCCGAATCTATACGTTTTAGCAGTACTGCAGTTGGTAATACTTATGTTGATAGGCGCCTCAGACTCTTCGATCAAGAGAGGCTCCCCATTGTTGTTTTCAGTATCACAGTAAACTCGTTGTTTTTTGGGCTCCCCTCGACGTTACTATGCGTCTCAGATTCGATATGATATTTTTCAGATAGGCTCCCATAATCAGTAGTGCCGGCACCTTAAAATCGAACTATGAATCATGAAACCCGATTCGGATTTGAACAAAGTGGCTCATTTCCACAATAGCAGGCGCCCTCAATTTCATATATTCGAATTGCTCCCAAGTTCAAAATGACAGGAAGCAGCTCATCACAAAAGAACATAATTAACGAAGAAAACACCGAAACTAACTTTTGACGACATAAGTAAACACACAACCTTTACAACTATCTCATCACCATTACCGCAACATTGCCACCTTAACTTATTAACAAAACATTTTCATCACTTAAAACACTTCGCAGTGTAACGGCACTAGTCTTGAAATATATTAAGCATCAGATATAACAAATTAAGTGAACACAGAAAAGACAAATTGTTAGCCTGCGTACCAGAAATTAAATACGTAACCTCAACTACACCGTTATCATCTCTCAACTCAACGGACATTCAAATGGCAGAACAGATCCTTATTAAACTAATGCAACGTAACATAACAAAAGAAGAGGAACGGAAATGGGAACACCTAGGATTACATCCAGATGAAAACGGATTAATACGATGCCAAGGCCGTCTACAGGCTAAATATTTGCCAAGAGACGTAATAGAACCTATGCCTTGCCTGCAAGAAATGGAACGGCAAGCCATACTTCTACCCAACATCCCCATCATTGCCAACAGCCAAACCCAACCCACAAAACCATTCTCATACATTGGAATCGACTTAGCCGGACCATTCACCATCGTCGATTCAGACCACAGTAAAACCAAAAGATGGATATTTCTGTCCATGTGCATGACTACAAGGGCAATACATCTCGAAGTAGTCAAAGATCTAAGTGCACTCCGAATAATCAACGTCCTCAGAAGACTAATTTCCAGAAGAGGCTAACCGCAACTCATTATATCAGATAACGCCACTAATTTCAAGCGAAGCAATGAACTTCTTACATCCACGGAGAATAGAAAACATCCTACAAGCTAAAGGCGACACAACTTTCACTAACCAATGAAAAAATACAATGGCAATTCATAACACCTCTTTCCCCTTGGAAAGGGCGGTTTCTACGATCGCTTAATTGGCATCATGAAGTCAACATTAAAGCGAGTGGTAGCAAAAAGAATGTTCAATGAGACAGACTTCATAACAGTTGTCACAGAATGCGAAGCAAGGGTAAATTTAAGACTAATTGCGTAGTCAGGAAGCACGATCTAGGACTCATTAATAATCCGTCCAATTGACTTCCTCTTACCTAACGCTAATATCAAGCCATTACTCAACAGGAACCTTACGAGCGACAACAACGACCAACAATACATTCCCAAAATCTCAACAAGAGATCAAGCCGTTAGATACCTACAAAACCAGTCGAACTATCTTAAGCACTTGTGGCAAGCTTGGCACACAGCATATCTTCTTGAATTGAGAAACTACCATCAACGACGAATCAAGCAAAAGAGCTTCACCAGAAAGCAGCCCCGTGTCGGAGAAGTGGTTCTCATCACGGATGAAGACATACCCCGAATTGACTGGCCACTAGGACTCGTAACTTAATCTAGTACAAGACCAAGATGGTGCAGTCAGATGGACCGGCACGGGCGTTCTTTACCGGTGAGGCCGTTATTATAATCGGAAATAGGTGGGCGGTTATAAGCAACGGTGGTGCCCGGCGGGAAGAGTTGTGTAGCCAGTGGACGCGTCGATATCAGTTAAATGGAATTCGAAATCAATTTTGAAGCATCAAGCAACATGCTAATTACTTCTAGAGACTACGGAAGGAAAGGATGACACATCCCGAAGGAGAACTCTGCCAACAGTAAGCAGTGGAACAGCGCAGCAACCGGGAAACCGGGCGACAACAACCGCATTTCTAACAAATCAGACTCAACGAAACCTAATATAACCAACGGTCAGCGATTACGTCCGATCCTTCCTCGACGGGCAAAGACGAACAAAAGCTACACTTCTAATACACTGACAACGAACACGAGAGATACAAACTTTAACCTATGCCAGCACAGCCCAACACATTTCGCTCAGTTATGGAAACATTAGGCGGTCACTACTAGCACTGCCGTTTATACTAATTAACCCTACAAACTCGCATAATCCGACACACACCACTACTTCATTGTGTGACAGGAGGAATAAATATACAATCACATCAGCAATCAGAACGAATACAGGTCTGCGGAAATGACTACTGCAATGAAACAAAAGAGCCAGATCACAACATAACCGTTCAGTTCCCACTTGAAGTAACGTTACGCACATACCACATTACCCTGAAATCAGAAATGAAAAACACCACAGAGGCCACCCATTCGGCTTGTCCTCCAAGCCCTTTTTTGTGATCGTATAACTTCGTATAATGTACTTTTTGCCACCACAAAAGCCGTTTCAATCCGCAATTGCTGCGCAAGAATTACCAATCGCCTGTAACCCGGCAATCTCTCTATCTCACAGTACCTTACGGCATCATACTACTATTATACGTATATATATAATACATTTTAAGCAACTCGTAAACTTGTTTAGAATTCTAACGCCTACACCCTCGCGCAAGCTAAAGCTTCGCAAGATCTTAACATTAATCACGCGAAGACGGCGCACACGTTGATTCTCAGACGACCGGAAACCTTGCTCGAACTCGAATCGACACGAAATGGAACAAAACCACAATGATTCAACTAATCGCAATCCTCACCTACTTTACCTCAACTACATACGGATGTCAACAAACAATCCTTTTTAATCAGCAAGCAATATTTTCAGATAGTAACGACATGCTAAAAGCATGTCATACATCAGAACCATCAATTGGTGACAAAACTCAATCAAATGCAACCTGAGCTTTGCATCCAGCTACAACATAACGATCAGCAGGTCCACTATATGCACATCTCACTAAAAACCTTATTCCCATTGTTCTTCCTTTTGTTTGTTTTTTTGTTTCTCCGATGCCGCAAACAGACCCCTCTACTTTACACGTAACACAATCACTAAGGTCAAATACCAAAAACGTTGCCCAGGTAGAGGCACATGCACCGGGTTAAAATGCGCTAAAATTAACATTGATACTTATGTCAACGAGCTACAAGAAGCAAATAATTACACAGGAATAACCTACTGCTCAGAATCCTGCGGAGGACTAGGCTGCTCTGCGGCTTTCCTTCATCAGGATGCCTGTTCTATCGCATATACCACAAACCACTCGACGAAGACATATACGAAATATTCCACTGTCCCACATGGTTCCAAACCATATCACTTGAACTCAAAATTAATGGAGCCCAACAAGTAATCAAAAGCTTCGAATTACAACCCTACGTCAAAAAACGCATCGCCAACACATCTTTGAAATCACAAGCTTTTCATTTCCACCAATATCAATACTTTACCAGCGCTTCCTTACTAATGGACAAACAACGGCATTTATACGCCAAGACACACAATTTAGCTACGCATGCAGCAATAATATAAACACAACAAATACAACCGGCGACTGCACTATAAAGGACACCTGCAAATGCAGTCCTGCCGAAGATTATGTAAACTGCTATTGCACTCACAACAATGTCTCTCAGTTCACACAATTATCAAATACACTACCTTTGCCAATACCAAGCGGTTTGGTCGCTACTGAAGGACTTAACAGCATACCCACAATTAGAACAAGTACACTGTCAGCAGAATTAATAATTCTGTTGGACCCACTCACAAAAGGTGTAATACAAGAAATTGAGAATTTCCAATGTAACATTCTCTCATACCCACTAATTGGATGCTACAATTGCCTCAAAGGGGCACAAGCAACAATTTTTTGCGAATCAGATAACCAAAAATCAATCGCACAAGTAACTTGCGACCACCATCAATTCACACTCACTTGCACTAAATTCGGTCAATACAACTACATCCTCTTGTTCTTTAATAAAGCCAGAATCCATGAACTATGCCAAGCTAAATGTGGTTCACACACTACAATATTCACGATACAAGGTACACTAAATTACATAAACGGGTTAACACCATTTTGGCACTACATTAAACTATGGGACAACACATCAAACACGGAATCCTCTTCACTATTCACTATCGATCTCTCTCTTCCCGATCTCTCGCACTTCTTTCGCACTTGCACACAATTCCTCTTCTATTCCATAACTATCTTCTTTCTTCTTCTCAGCGCACTAACTCTGAGCCACAACCTCTTCTGCTCTACCAAACCACAAAACCAACAGCACAAAACAACTCTAATCGAAAGTAATCTCCTTATTTCCTCCACTCCGCATCCTCCTCTTTCTTTTCTCTCTGCTGAAGCTTTTCATCTCACTCGCAACCAACATCCTACGACTTCCACTACGACTACTCGGCTCGTCACGACTACTACGCCACTAGCGAACTACGAGTTCAAGGTCTGCTTCCCGACACAGCCAACGCTATATCTCGACCAGCAACTCCACAACTTCCGAACAACGTCACATCAGAAGGTACACCATAATGTTAGGTTGTAGTTTAGATTTATGTTTTAAGAGAATTGTTAGTAGGTAACGTTGAGCAGATATCGCTGTATTTTATTTAATGTCAACCATTTCAATTTTTCTACCGTACTGTACTATTTTTTGACACTGCTTAAGCAATGTAAGGTTAGCGTTATGCACGGTTGGCCTCAAAACCTACCTTAATCACATAAGCCGGTGGGAATTTTAAGAAACATTGTTGTGCGTGCAATAGCAGTTTACATAATCTTCGGCAGGACTGCATTTGCAGGTGTCCTTTATAGTGCCAGTCGCTGGTTGTATTCGGTTGAGTGTATATTATTGGTGCATGCGTAGCTAAATTGTGTGTCTTGACGTATGAATGCCGTTGTTTGTCCATTAGTAAGGAAGCGCTGGTAAAGTAGTGATATTGGTGGGAATGAAAAGCTCGTGATTTCAAAGTATGTGTTGGCGATACATTTTTAATGGTAGGGTTGTAATTCGAAGCTTTTGTTTACTTGTTTGGGCTCCTAATTGTGAGTTCACATGATCTGGTTTGGTAACCATGGGGATACAGATGGGATTATGTTCGTGATCATGTCTTTCGTACGGAGGTGGTTTATGGTAATATGCGATAGAAAAGGGGCATCGCTGAAGAAGGAGCCGCATGAGCAGCCTAATCCTCCGCAGGATTCGGAGCAATATGTTATTCCTGTATAATTATTTGCTTCTTGTAGTTCGTTGACATAAGTATCAATGTTAATTTTGGCGCATTTTAACCCGGTGCATGTGCCTCTACCTGGGCAACGTTTTTGGTATTTGACCTTAGTGATTGTATTACGTGTAAAGTAGAGGGTTCTTTGCGGCATCGAAGAATGAGAATTTTTAATGAGAATGTGCATATAGTGGACCTGCTGATCGTTATGTTGTAGCTTGGATGCAAAGCTCAGGTTGCATTTGATTGAGTTTTGTCACCAATGTGGTTTGATTATGACATGCTTTAGCATTGTCGTTACACTGAAATATGTTTGCTAGTAAAAGGATTGTTTGTTGACATCCGTATGTAGTTGAGGTAAAGTAGGTGAGGATTGCGATTAGTTGGAATCATTGGTAGGTTTTGTTCCATTTTCGTGTCGATTCGAGTTCGAGCAAGGTTTCCGGTCGTCTGAGAATCAACGTGTGCGCCGTCTTCGCGTGGATTAATGTTAAGATCTTGCGAAGCTTCAGCTTTGCGCAGGTGTACGTTAGAATTCTAAAAATTTTACGAGTTGCTTTAAATGTTATATATGCCGTAA